TCGCTTCCTGTCTCGTAAATTGCGACCAAAGTCAAAAAAATTGAATTTTTGAGCATAAATTTCCGTGGGTCCCGTTTGTGTTACAGAAATTTATGCCTGAAAAATTTCCTGATGTCAAATTTATTAATTATATAGAATATTCTAAACATTTATGTAATAGAATATTCTGAAAATTTATTAAATCAATAAAATTAATAAACAATTAATGCTCAATAATAATATCATTACAATATACATTTTATTTTTACAATTAACTATTTAGTTTTGAAAAAATCTGTAAAATATCAAAATGTTTCATATGTAAATCTCAAATATACCGTTATAATAATTTTGCAAATATCTACAAAAATAAACAGAGATTTACAAAAATATATGTAAAAATTTTCAAAAATATATACAAAAATTTTTGAAAATAAATGAAACAAAAAATTCCGGAAATTTATGGTTCGAAAATTTTCAAAAATTTTTTTGAAAATTTACAAAGGTGTTATATAACTCCAAAAATTTAGCGAGGTAAAAATTTTCAAAATATTTTGTCTTTAAAAATTTCCTGATACTTATATACTGTATTATAGATTAGTTAAAAATTAGTAAAAATTGATTATCATATTGTATCCTATATTATAAATTAACTAAAATCAGAATTTCTTTTTAATATGATAATTCTTTTGTATTTGACTTGTGAATTATGACACAGGTAATAATATTATAAATTTTAATTCATAATTACAGTCACTTTCTTCAATTACAATCATTAATTAAAATTAGTAATAAAGATATTAATCATATTTTTTACATAAGTCTTATTTTTAATATATTTATTTTATATACTATTAAAGTATTAACAAAAAATATAATTTTTTAAATGTGTAAAAATAAAATGTATAAAAAATTACATTGTGATTAATTATACCTGCCACCCAAATTCAAAATCCAAATGCCGAAATCCCAAATGCCAAAATCCCAAATCCCAAATCCCAAATTATGATTAGTATTTTTTGCCGAAATCCCAAATCCCAAATACTAGTAATTTGGGATTTTGGCATCCCAAATCCCAAATGATTTGGGATTTGGGCAACACGTATATGATTAATTCAAATTTTTGATATAATTGTTTTACTAAAATTTAATAATAAACTAATGTTTAAAAGATAAGAAAGAAAAATTAATAATAAGACAATTAAAAATATAATAAGTTGAGTATATACAAGATTTAAAAATTAATTAATATTTATAAAATTTTTAATACAAATTGACTTAACCAATTTGCATGTCATTTACAAATTAGCCTGCTTATTTGTGTATTATTCACAAATCTTCCTGCCTATTTGTATATTATTTAAAATCTTATTATATATTATTTACAAATCTTATTATCTATTTGCATATCTCCTTATCTATTTGTACTAAAATTTTATTTTCTTTATTTACCAGTAAGAAAAACTTAATAAAATTGTAATAACTTCTGTATCTGAAACTTATACAAGTAAAACTTGTAATAATTGTAGGAAAATTTGAATGGAAATAAAGGCTTTAATTATGTAAGTAAAAAATTGGTGTTTCACAAAGTCACATGTGAAAGCCGATCAAATAAAGATATTAAATTTGACTCATTGAATGAGAACTTTGAAATCATGTCATCTACGTTAGTCGTAGAAGAAAATTCTTGGACAGCATTTGAGAAACTTTTACTTGTACAGTTAGTTTACAAGCTCCAGGACAACTGGGCGGCAGTATGTCGTGATATGAGGAGGCATCCCATGATCAGTCACCCTGCTGAGTTTTTTACTCAAAAGGTTTTCTTCCCAAACTTTTGTATTTGGAAAAACGAACTTAGATCTAAGATTTATATCAATTCTTACTAAATTTTCTTATTATAAATTTAGAACTGCGCCACCAAATATAAATCACTGATTGAACCGTTAGAAATAGAAGCGGAAATAGAAAAGTATGTTTTAAAGAGAATTCACTCTTAGGTCGTGAATATTGATTTAGGAAAAAAAACCCGTATAGATTACTTTAGAAAAATTTTAATTACAACACACTAATTAATTAGATTTATTAATATTTGTAAATCGAGGGTTTCTCCTTTTTTTTGTATGGTTTCCTTTATAGAATATATTTTTCGAAAAAATTATCATTCAGCCTAATGTTATGTATTTAATGGATAATATAATCAAAATTTTAAAAAATATTTTTTACATTCTAGTGAGAATAAAAAGAAATCAGGAGATTTTTCTTCTTCATTTAATGGTACAGGAATAGAATATCCATTTTCTCTTTACGATTTTATTTTTTGTAAAATTTCAAGATTTGTAATTTGTCACAATAAATTCAGATGAACGTCGCATGCCTCCAGCAGCAAAATTGGCTCGTATATTATACCAAGAACGTATTCGTGAATTAAAATCTATGGTGTCATCAGCAGAACAAAGATTTCGGTAAGATTCTGATAGCTTCGATGCCATTTTTTTTGTATTAAATTATCATTTTTAATACTTCGAGTGACTGGATTACTTTCAACGTTAAAGAACAATTGTCACAGAAATCGATGATATACGTTCTGGAAAATTGGACTCTCAATTGGTTGAAATATTGAAAGATGAACAAAAAAAGAAAGAAAAATCGGGGCAGAAAGCTTCAGATAATAAAGAGCAAACATATGAACAATCAGAGGAAATTGTTATCGAAGAGGTGTTAATATCTGTAAATCCTCCTGAAGTTACTTCAAAAACTGTTGATAAATTGGCAATTTCTGATGAAAAAATGGATATTGATGAAAATAATAATGACATGATTACCGACGATAACAATATTAATCCTTTAAATACAAAAGAAGGGCAAGAAGGGCAAGAAGGGCGAGAAGGGAAACTTACGGACATTCGGGTTGCCGGAGAGCCTAATAAAGATAATAGTGAAAAAGTCCAAGAACAACAATTAATAATTTCTGGATTATCAGATAAAGGCAAAGATATTATTATGATGGACATTGACGCGAAATCAGTTGAAAATCCCCAAAAGACATTATCTGTAGACCTACCTAAACCTGAACAAGTAATGAGACTTATTAATGAAAACACTTCACCTCAGGACGTGATTTCAGAAGATACCCCTCAAACCATTAGTGGGGATAATCCAATGGATGTTGATGAGTCTCCAGAAACAAACCCAAGTACTTCGCCAGTCCATTATTCCAATAAATTAATGAATTCACCGAAAGAACTCACTCCTAAAAATAATGAAGTTCTAGTTCAGTCTGAAGAAGAAATGGAAGTCGTAGAAAAACCTATTAACAATGAACAAAATTTAATTAATGAAGCATCTAAAATTATTCCAAATAAATCTACGGATATAATATCGAATGAAAATGAAAATTTCAACGAAAGTGAAGAATTAGAAGTTGGATCTCCTGCAGAAGAAGAATCTATTGAATTGGAATCAGGCTGTGCTTTACCTGCTTTGAATGTAGAGAATACTGAGAATATTATAGATGATGATACTAATCTTCAAATTTTAGGCGATTCATCACATTCTGATGTGAAAGGTGAAAAGGAGAATGTCCCAGTGAAAGATGAATCTTCGGTTGTTAAACAAGAGTTCAAGGAACCGTTGACTCCATCTGCAGGGGTTATTCCTTCCACTCCCTCCGGTGTCGTGAATACTACAACTCCTGCCGCTATGGGACTACCATCCACTCCTGGAGATGGTGAGTTCAAATTTATTTATTATTATTATTATTAGTATTATATTTTCTTAATTTACAAATATAATTCCTTTTTAAATCAGCCGCTAGAACCCCTCATGGAAGTGAAATTGCGCCTACTCCCGGTGGAGGAGAGCCATCTGGTATGTTATTATCTAAGCCCAAATAATTTATTTGAAATATAATTTTAAATGAAAACAGGTGCAAACATGTGATGAATTATGTAAAATTCTATTATAAATATATTATAGAAAGTAGTTCGATTGATGATAAGAAACAAAAGACTTGGCATAAATTGGTGACAATGATTTTGCAAGAGATTTCTAATCATCGTTACGCAAGTGTTTTTCAAAACCCAATCAGGGAGCAAGATGCGCCTGGTTATTATGATATTGTTAAGCAACCAATGGATCTGAGAACGTTGAAAAAACGTCTCCGAGATGGTGTATGTTCGGAAACAATTCTTTCCTGTTATTTTATTTTTTCAAAACTTAGATTATCTGTTATTTTTACATTTTATTTTAATATTTATTTCATTTAGATTGTGCATGATACAGACCAATTTCATCGAGATCTTATGCTAATGTTTATGAATGCGTCTGTGTTCAATAGAAAAGAAACCGATATTCACCAAATGGCAACAGAAATGAAAGATTTTGTTGAAAACCAAATCTCAGAATTCAGAAGAAGCGAGAGTTCAGGAATTTCTGGGGGGGTTCATGAACCAGCAACACGAAGAAAGAGTATGGCCTTGGAGGGTACAAAACAAGGCTTATTTAAGTAGACATTCCAAGATGATAATTATGTTCTTTATTCTTTCCATTTCAATCAGTCAATCAATTTATCTAATATAATAATTTTTAGTGGCAATTATAAAAATATTAGCTGTCACTGCAAGTGAATATAAAATATAAAATAATTATATGTGTGATATTTTTGATGAATTAGTATATCACATTGTAAAAACCAAAAATAAATAATTTATTAATAGGAATTCCCATTTTATTCATTTTATTATATTACTTAGTGAATCAGACATTAAGGAATCATTATAAATTTCTATTGTTAAAATGCCATAGGCATACAATTAAAGATGATACCTACAACTAATTTTATAAGTTCAGATTTTTGATATAAATCTGTAATTCTGCAATAGTTGTGAACTTTTATAATTTTATAAACTTAGATCTCTTTTTATCTTAATTGAATCATTTTTGATGAAATTATCTTAGAGAGAAGTTTTAAAAAATGATGATATCTCAGCAACCAGTTTCTAGATTTGAGAAATTCTTGTATAATTAAATTCTTTATCATTTTGATAATTATTTTATCCGAAATAAAAAAAAAAATATTAATTTATTCATCAAAGTATTCTTTAAATTTAGATTAATTACATATCACAAACTTGCAAATTAATTGATAATAAAACTCTGGAATAATTATGTAATTGTGAAAACATTGCAAATTTTGCAGATAATTGTGTAATTGTAAATTTTTGCTATACTATATTTCAGGTACCATCTTATACAATAATTAAACAATAGTAAATAGTTAAGGAAAACTATACTTGATACTTTTTGTTATTCTGGAAGTGTTGGCAGATAATTAAGATGCAACACTGGGAACTTAAATTAATTTATCACTGTTATTATTATGTTGGTTATCTTTTTGAAGTATTAATTGCTTTAACAGAAATGAAAAATTTTGTTGAAAATCAAAGAGTCCAACATAATAATTTATGTTCTCGTTCTCATGTGATAGACTTTCTTTTCAAATGAGCAATTAATACTCCAAAATTAAAGATGGTTCAGTTTGTTCATCTTGTAGGAGGAGAAAACTCAATTAATTGCATATCCATCCCATTACTATTTGTATGGGACATTTTTAACAATAGAAATTGGTAATAATAAAATGGGTGATATATCAATTCATTGAAAATATCACGTATATAATTATTTTTCCCTTGAAATGGAAAGAATAAAAGAATTACATTAAATGACTCATAATGTTAATCATGTTATTGAAATATTATGTATGTATGATATGTTTGAATTTTGTGAGAGTCTCGTGTGATCCTTGTCTGAACGGGGTACTCGAATTTGTACATCCGGGAAAAATCAAACCTTTACTTATAAATGCATTTGGCTACCAACCCCTTTTCCGACACGTCTAATAAAAGAACGTTTAATAATTAAAAAATTACGAAAAAAAACCTCAATGGTTACCCATCATTTCTTCTTCGACAAAAAAAAAAGAAAGAGATATTATATGGGGTATGTCATGCTGCAACCAAATTAAAAGTAACACAACCGCCTTATTGAATAATTAAAAATCACTATATTTCACTTTGGCCAGAATTAATTATTGTTCAATTTGTTTTTGTTTAATTTATTTTTTTATGTGTATTCACAAATGTGACCACAATATTTCTTTTTAAATGCAAACCTTGTTAATAAATTTACAATATATTTATTTTAATTTTCACAATATATATTTTCATTGTTTTTTGCTTCTCAAAATAAAAACATGTATAACAAACAAATAAAATTATAAATACTAAAACAAATATAAAGATTCAAAAATTCCCAAAAATGATATAATATTTTGAAAATAATAATGAAAAATATTTAAAATATCAATATAAATATATTAAACTTTCCATTGTTTATAATGCCTATAATGTTTCTTTTTATGCAATTTTATAGAATTTTTTTATTAAATGTAAAAGTAAATTACCTATTTATATTTAAAGAATTTGAAAATGTAATTGAATATAAATATTTTCAAAATTTCTTAAATTTAGTTAAATTTTATTCTCAACAATTATACTGCATAATCTAATTTTGTTAAAGAAACAACGAAAACATTCAAAAGTATTCAATGTTAATTTAATGCGTGATCAACAGAATTGATTTGATTTGCTTAAAATAAATTTTTTAAACAAAATTTTTAAAATAAAAAAGATAACTGATAAGGAACAAAAAAGATTGATTGAACTAAAATATAATCGGATTATGGGCGTCACTGTTTTTTTTATATATCTTGATTTATTTATTTATTTATTATTTATTTATTTATTATTAATACTTTAATATAGATTTAATAAAAATATTCCACTGCGGATTTGTGCGAATAAAATATCAATGCCCCGTGCATTACGATAATACCCAACAAAATTGCCTAATGTATCACGTGTAATTATTTAAACTATATATCTTTATTTCCCCATTGGTTGATAAAATTGGTTGATAAGTTCCGTCTCACAATAATTTTTTTGCGCCCACAAAAATTTTTTATAAGAGGCCTTTTTCGTCCAAAAATCTGAACCGTGTTTTTTTTTTTTTCAAAATAAATTACAACTATCCTATTTCAAAACTTATTCTTTGGTTATATATTCTGGAAGCTCTCTTCTCTATTTTTACATTTTTCCGTTTTACCTTCTTTATTACCAATCTTTTACTCTGTTCTTATTTTGACTTATTATTTTGGTTTGCACGGGAACTCTACCTCGCTGCGCTTGGTGAAACCGTTTCGCACAACAAAAATATTTAATTTTTCCTTGTGACTAGAATTTTCTCAAGTCCGAAAATTTTTACTTTATTTTCCACAAAACAAATTTTCTTTAAACCAAAAATATTACTTTTCACTACATTGAACCATAATCACAATCGCTATGAACTCTTTCAATGTCGCCACCCAAGCAAAACCTGACGAAAGTATTCAATATTCACCTGTTATTGATAGTGAAAAGTTCTCGCAAATGTCTTTAGGTAAGTATCATTTATTTCTTTGTTTATTTATATTGTTATTGACTTTATTAAAAATTCAGATGAGTTAAAGTAACCCCCTTCTTATTAATAGTTGAACCAACCCAACAGGTTGTTGATAACTCTCAACTCGTCGCGGTAAAAAACGAAGAAAATATTCACAGTGTTTCTACTTCGGACGACCAAAAAGAACACGGTTCTGCTTCTTTGGTTTCTAAGACGACTTATACTTGTCACGTTTGTAGCAAAAAGTATAAACACAGAAACTGTTTGGTTAAAGTATGCTCACCTGGAACTATACTCTTTTCAAATATATTATCACTTTAGTTATTATAAAACACAAAAAAAAAAAAATCTTTTCTCATCACTAACTTAACTACCACCACACCTCCTTGATACTCTTCCTCTTTCTATAGCACTTGTGGGAACACCACGAAAGTTGGGAACTGTGTCTCAAATTTAACTTGACAAAACATCAGCAGGTTCAGATGATGGAGGTATGTTTTTATCTTATCAATACTATCCTTACTTCGGTACCCTTTCTTTTTTTTTTTTTTTATCTTCTCAAGAATAACATGTTAACACGTCGTCTTTCTATTATAAATTAGGCTGCGCAAATCCTCGTTGATCTTGCTTGTATAAAACAACATTAAATCATCCCCATTTTCCCCTTGTATATTTATCCTATTCTTATATTTTAATGTACCAAGACGATTAAGCAAAAGGCAGTTAATATTATACATATATATTACTCGAACAATTTATACATTTTTATACCAAATTTTATTCGCTGCCTATATTCACGTCGTCATTGGTTGTTTCATATTACAATTTAATTCTTTTTCACACATCTCAACATATAACATCTTTCAAGTTGGTATGAGAGGAATATTGGACAGACATTTTAGAAGTAGAATAATGTACTGCCCTATTTGTATATAAAGATTTATTTCCTTTTTATTATTGTTATTAATGATAATATAGGGATTCATTAGATTCCTCTTGTTTATACTTGGATATATATATTTTTTATATTTGCTAATATTTTTCGATACATATATACATTTACATCGAAAAACTTTAATAATTGTATTTCCCAATGTTTTTTTTTATCCTTTTTCCTTTTCCTTTTTACCTTTTACCTTTTTCTTCCACGGGCTTTGGATTGAAAAAAATGTAATTATTAACTACAACACAGTTATGTAAAAAATTAAATATATAATGGCCCTAAAATTTTTTTTTTTTTTGATTTCATTGTAAATTTTTATGTCATCTGGGAAAATTTTTGAGTATGAGTCATGTGACACAACAACAAACACCCTAAAAAAGGGTAACATTATGATTGGGTGACCAGATCTATTCCCCTACGTAACATTATCATGCATAAAAATAATTACTCGCTTTTAACTTTCTTAACAACTAACTAACTAACTAACTAAACTAAAATATTTTAGATTTTTAAGATAAATTAGAAAAATCTGTAGTCCAGGTTTTACTGAAATTAGTAGTAAAATTTCTTTAAAAAATGATATGTTGAAAGCTTGCGTTTATAAACTTTTGGTAATTTGGATATCCAATAGTCAACACTAGCAATAGCGTAGTTAAAATTACTAAAATTTCAAACAAAATTAAAGAAAAATTCTACATGCCTTTATCAATAAAAGATTACTTAAAACCATCTTTCTTCTCAGTTTCTTATGAAATCTATTCTTACATACCCAAATTTAAGTTGCTACACATGACTGCTATTTAAGATATCTTTAACTCTTAATTTTAATATATTTTGATTTAAAAAACCTAACAAAAATTTTATGTTATTCTGCTTATTATTAAAATTAAAATACAATAAAATTAAGTTAAATTATATATATTCTTTTTATAATATTCCAAACCCTTTGGAAAGCTAAAAAGTATAATAATTATTAAATCTAATGAAACAATCTAACAAAAAGTCTACAAAATTTAGTAGGAATTGTTTCTAAAGCCATTTAAAAAAAATCTATTTTATCTAGAGCTTCTAGAACAATAAAAATATATAAAAATTAAAAATAACTCAAAATAGTTTTAATTAAATTCCTGTTATACTTTAAATCAGATTTGTGTAAATCAAGTTTACTTTTATATGTAAATTCCTTAGGAAGCTTTTAGAATAACAGTAAAATATAGTAAAAAGTCAAATCTTCATTTCATAAAATGAAAAAATTTGACAAAAAATAAATCTAGATATAAAGCATCCTTATTTCATAAGATAAAAAAGATGGTTTTGTAAACATTAGAATTCCAATATGATCTTTTGAAAATTTAATGACATTATTATTTTAATTAACAATAAAAGTGTAAGATAAAATACATATATAAATAAAATAATAAGCGCTATGATTGATCTAGACTATGAAACTATCAATAGTCTAATAATTTGATATTGATCTTACACGACTTACACGACTTACACGACCATTCATCTCAAGAAATAATCAAGTTTAGATTATAATTAAAAAAAAATTGATTACTTGTTTATACTTTCATTTTCTAAACTTATAATGTATGATCCTGTGATCACATTAAAGAATTGAATGAAATTGTCTTTTACTTTTTTTTATATAGTATATTTTATTCTTGTACACACTATTTTATTTGTTTAAAAAAGAAATAATCTTTATAAGTATTTGAATTATAAAAACGCGACTTTCTTAAATCTGATGTTTAAATATGACAAGAACGAAAGTCGCTATCCAAAAAACAAATGCTTCCCGCTTTTCGAATAAAGCTGGTTAAAACCATTATTATTTACATGTGTTTTAAATAGGAATGATTTTTTTTTTTTAATTTCTTTAATAACTCATTATTAATAGTTTCAAGCAGTATTACTACAACTTCTAAATCAAATGGACATAAGTCCAATGTCACAGCAAATAGAAATATTATCTCTTCTACCGGTTCTAAATCAAAGAATGTGAAACGCAAAAAACAGGATAAGTTAGATGAGGATGAATATGTTCCTAGTGATGATGATTTCGGATCAGATTATGGTGATTATGTCGATAATAATGATAACATTATAAAAAGCGCTGCCACGTAGGAAGAAGAATTTTTTTTTAATTTCATAAGAATTAAATTGAATATCAAATAAAAAATATTATATTACCTAAAGAAGTCAAGATGTAACAGATTTAATTGGCCTTCTTCAAAGTAACTTTTCATAATCAAATGTTTTTATATGTTTAATATTAATATGACTTAATATCATAAATATCATAAATATCATAAATTTCATAAATATCATAAATATCATAAATTTTATAAATATCATAAATATCATAAATTTCATAGATATCATTAATTTCATAAATTTCATTAATTTCATAAATTTTTTTTCGTGTTTTCGTAGGTAAAACAAAGAAAAATTCGACTTCATATTTTAAAAAGTTTGAGCAAAAACAAGAAACTAAATTACAAGAGGCAAGAGATTTGATTGAGGGTGATTCGGGAATTATTAATAATTGGGTGACTGAAATGTATTTAATTTTTTATTATTTTATTTATTTTATTGATCGTTTTAACTATAATAATAATAATAATAATAATAACTACTAAATATATAAAATTCAAACAAATATAGGGAAAATATTACTTCTAAATTAAAAGCAAAGATGAGAGAGAATATTGAACGTAAAGATGAATTCATTAAAAAGTCGAAACTCGGGTTTGAAAAATACAAAGTAAATTATTTAAATGATCCATAAATATATAATAAAAAATAATAAAATCGACAAAAAAAAAATATAAGAAGTTGAAATTATGAATAACTTTTATTATTTTTTTTTTTTTAAAAAAAAAACTAACGTTTGTCGTCTAAAGACAATCACAACCGAATCTTTAGATCAACTCACGAAGCTTCATACTCAATCACAAAGAATTCACCGAGAATTTAATAATGGATTAAAACAACTTTGTAATGTGAACATCGCAACAAATAATTATTTGAATTAATTTTTTTATAACTTTATAAATTTCTTTATTTAGATGCCACTGACGTAACAGAATTAAATGAGTCACTAGAAATATTTATGAATGATCAAGATTATGCGTGCACATCTTTAATGAAAGCTAATAAGGTAATAAAAATACTTTTTGAAATTTATCAAAGAGACATTATCAAATAATATTTTTTTGAAATTATTTTAATAGGAAATTCACGATTTAGTGACTCTCAAAAATGATTTTAAAGTATTTTTTTAAATAATTTTCTCTGTAAAACAAAGTAATATTAATTAACAATAAAGTAACTTAAAAAAAAAAAAATCTAATTAGAAACAGATGTACCATCTGATAAGTTATATATAATAATTAATTAATAATAATAAATTTATATTGAACATATTGAACATGCATGCGACTTTTAACGACTTTTAACGATTACTAAATATTTAAAATGTTTAAAATGTTTACTATTATTTGGTCCATGTAATATTAGTATTACAACTTTTTTGCATAATCTTTTTATAGATAACAATAATATATAATAATACCAAATTTGATCTTTCGCACGTAAAATGTACAATTATGTATTTTCCGACACGGAAAAATTTATTTATCTCTTATCGGATTGACTTCTTACATTATAACAAAGATTTTAGTATATTCACTGAATGTAGGCTGATACAGTAGAAAATCTTTCCTTATTTTATTGTAATCATTAAGATTTCGCGTTTTTGGTACTTTTTTGTATTTTTTTTGTATACATTACATAAAAAACCTTAAATTCAAGTTTTAATATTTCTCAATTTAACACTTTAAAATTTTTGACAGCTATAATTGAATTATTATTGAATTTGTAGAATTTTTAATTCGAATATTTAAATATTTACCACAAAAAATATAATTTTTCCGTTTAAAATCATTTTTCACCCCACATATATCTACATATATTTGATATTGTTTACCAAAGAATGAAAATAAATAAAAAATAAAAAAATAAAAAATAAAACATTAACCATTCGTAGAAAAAAAAAATGCTTAAACAACAAACAAGGTCTATCGTTTATATTAATTAATATTGGATATACACGAATCAAATTTAGAACGAACATGTAAGAGCCAATATAATTTAGTTATGTTCTTGCGAGGTTCGATTAGATATTCAACTCGTTGATACATTGTGATCTGTACTACGACATTGATTCATTTTCTCAATTTGGATATTGTGTGAAATTGTTTGAACTTAAAATTTGCCACGATATTCTAAAGTAGTAAATCCAATCCACATATTAAATTAGGTGCGTGCTAAAGGTATTGGTCAGTTTTGCACTTAGAAATTTTTTTAAAAAAATTCAATGCAACTTTTCGTTATAATTATTTAAATTATTTAAATTATTATTTAACTTTTTTACTTTATCGAATTATATAGATATTATTATAGATATTGTATTATATTGTATTGATACTTTATTTGTATAGCATTTCTACATTGGGTTTGATAATTATGTTAATTGATTATTTAATCAAGAATAAATTCTCATTATCTCGATAATTATTAAATATCCGAGCTTTCTTGTTTACCAAACTCTTTGTCCTTTGTATCTCAAAGGTCCATTTTTTCTTTAATTTATTTTCTCTTTATCAAGCACTTTAAATTTTATTGTGCTTGTTGTTAGTACTTTTTTTTTTTTTTTTTTTCCCCTTTTCTTATATTTATTTTATTTTATTTTATTTTTTTAATTTCTTGATAAAATTTTTATCTTTTGATTTCTTAATACAATTATTTTACGCGTTCATTCCACATGAAGGTAGGTAATCATATTTCTTTTTTCGTTTATACCAAATTTTCTTAAAATTCCGCTCTGACAAAATTATTTTAATACTTATCGCGTCGAATTCCAAACATGGTTTTGGTTTTTATCATTAAAATTTTTTTTTCTTCCGTTATATTTTTGATTAATAAATAGTTTGGAAAACAAATCCTTAATCAACAAACAACAGAATGGGCCGCTCATTATGTTAATTACAAGGCATTGAAAAAAATAATCAATAGCCTGCAGAGTGCCTACCAAAATAATGAACGATCTTTACCTCCTACTCCTGTTACTATCGGACCTTCTCTCAATGCCGACTCTTTACAAATTGATGATTATCCAAAATTTATACAACAACAGAAAGCTGCCTTCTTTTTTAAGTTGGAACGCGAGTTGGAAAAAGTATTTATTTATTTTTTTTTTTTTGATCTCTTTTCATTTTTCATTTGATCTAATCTTGTCAACTTAGTTTATATTTTAATTCTCTATTTAAATTTAGGTGAATACTTTTTACCTCCAAAAGGAAAAAGAATTTAAAGTTAGACTACGTACCTTAATTGATAAAAAAAGAATTTTGTTAGGTCGTGGAAGAAAACTTTCTACTAATTCTGCTTCCTTGGTCACTTTAACAGAGGCTTTTCAAAAATTCCAACAAGATTTAAACAAATTGCAGGTAAATTAATATATTTTATTATACTTTTTTTTTTTTTTTGTTATTTTATAAATACCTACCTAAAATATAACCATATTAATATTAATTCGGGTATATAATATTTATGAACTAATTTCTTTCGTTTTATTTCAATTATATTCTAATCACCTTAGCAATTTATAGAAATTAATGCAACAGGTTTTCGAAAAATTTTAAAAAAATGGGATAAACGATCTAAATCAAGTACAAAAGAGCTTTACCTCGCTCGTCAAGTAGAAATTCAACCTTGTTTTAACCCTGATATTATCGCTGATTTAGCAGACAATGTTGATATTAATTTAAAAGAACTTCAAAGTCTTATGAATGGGTTACATTCTACTCCATTATCATCGCCTACTTCTCCTGAAAGAAGACTTTCAATTGGTGAACCCGAGGAACCTGATGTAATGGTTGATATTGAAACTGAACTTTTCAATTCTATCATAAAAGGTGTTAAATCAAATGTCCAAGAAATGTTAAATTGGATTCAGCAACACCCAATCGATGAAGATAAAGATCTCTTATCTCGTGTATTCTGGCGCGCATGTTCCGAGGAGAGGTCTTCTATCGAATCTATACAATGTTTAGTTTACACCAATATGATAAACTTCAAATATATTGACGATATTAGTGACCGAACATGTTTGCACGAAGCTGCTATCGTTGGACGTCTACAACTTATGAAATTGTGTGTTGAAAATAATGTTAAGGTGGATTGTTCTGATGTATACGGCCGAAAACCGTTACATTATGTTTGCATGTATGGTCACAGTGATGCGGCCACATATCTATTATCTCAAGGTGCAGATTGTGAAAGTTGTGATCATGATGGTTTTAGTTCTCTTATTTATGCCGTTACAAATGGTCATACTAAATGTGTAGAGATTTTGCTCGAAAAAGGCGCCCACACGAAACCAGTGAAAAAAGGTGATCATAATCATATACCTTTATCATTGGCATGTCAATATGGTCACAAAGATATAGCCTTGTTATTACTTGCAAAGGGAGCACAGATTATACCTGATGCGGAAGGTCTTTCATCTTTACATTTAACCGCTCGTGAAGGTCATCATGAAATATTAAAAATCCTAACAGAACATGGTGCTCATTTAGATACGCTTGACAAGTATAAAGGATGGTCTCCCCTCTTTTATGCTGCAAGTGAAGGCCACATTGAATGTGTCAATGCTTTAATCCAAGCTAATTGTCAAGTTAATATAACTGATGAATCAGGTCATTCCCCAATCTATTATGCTGCTTGGGAAGGACATATAGAATGCATAAGTAAATTACATTTGGCGGGTGGACGTGTAGAACCTGTTGAGCCAAGATTCGAGCAATTTGCAGTTAATAAAGAATATCACTTTGATGATGATCTTGATATGAACAATAATATTGATTCGATACCTTCTTTATTATTACCACCACCAATTCTACCACTTCAAATTTATGGACATAATTATCTAGATAAAAAATATCACATACAATTGACACTCGGTCACCATTCAACGAAACCTCGAAGACCACCTGTACATTTATATGGAAATAGTCAAATCTCATCTTTAAAACTTATTATTGCTTCAAAGCCAGACATGGGAATTATTCCACATAGTATTATATTACCTCTGGGTAATGATCAAGAGGTTTTTTCGTTTCAGGTAGATTCCATAGAAAATTTTTCTTTAGAATTTGATATATTCCCTACTTTCGGATCAAAAGTCATTGGAAAAGGTGTTGCATTACCACATGTCTTTGACATTTCAAATATTTGTGAAAGAAGAAATAATTTAGTTACTGGGGGAACGTATATTTGTCCTTTATTTGATACCCATTTAAAAGTTGTTGGAGAATTATCTTTTGAGTTTGCAATTGTGAAACCTTTTCAAGGTGTACAATTAGAAATCGGGGGTCAAGTGGAAACCTATTGGAAATCTACAAATACTGTAATTGTTCCCGGTTCACCTGAACAACCCCTAAATATAAGCGGAAATATACCATTCTTTATAACAGCTTCTTCCTTGTCGGGTGAATATATTCAAATTGTAGTGCAAGTGACACGAGATATGGTGGCCGTTGTATATCCGGAATGGATGTTACCTGTGAATGTATTTGAATTAAATGTATCAGATGTCACATATAGCCAATTCAAGTCATTAAATCACGATAATTTTGATTTCAATAACAATACTACAAGTTCAAAGGAATTACAAAAAATGGTTCATAAAGCTTACCTATCCTTGGAGGAAGTATTAGAGGTTCGTAATAGTCTTGATTGTTTTTATTTCCCAAAAAATTTATGACATATTTTCGTATTATCACTCTTATTCAGAGATTACAACCAACCCTTGGAGTGAATTTGGAAATCAAATATCCTACTGTTTACGAAATGTCCCGTTACCGGTTTTCTAATATTCCCGATATAAACAGTTATGTGGATACTATTTTACAAACAGTATACAAAAACCCTACAACCAGAAACGGTTCAAATCGATCCGTGATATTTTCCTCATTTAATCCTGCGATTTGCACCGCTTTGAATTGGAAACAACCAAACTGTGAGTATTAATGGGTCATTAGTGCTCTTGTATAATATAATATATGTATGTATGTATATATATATATTAATATACTGAAAATTTATGTTTTGTTTATATTTTTTAAAGACGCGGTATTTTTCAATTCTTTTTGCGGATTCGAAAATGAAAACAAAAATCATGAGGATATCGAACAAGATAAACGTTGTACCTCGATTAAGGAGGCCGTTAAATTCGCAAAAATTAATAACCTTCTAGGAGTCGTTTGCGACGCGACTTTACTAGTAAGTACGAATTTGATTGTCACAAAGTATTCATCATAATTTGCTTATTACTTATTCCATATTTTAAGGTTCGCGTTCCATCGTTAATAACGAGTGTCAAACAGGCCGGACTGATATTGACTACGTTTGGAACCGCAAATAATGATCCTCACAACATACGGATACAAGAAAGATTCGGTGTTGACGCTATAATAATTGACGGTGTCATCAAATATAATAGTGTCCGCAGCGCGTTTTAAAAATTCTCATTAAAATTCTCATAGTAAAACTCTCACTAAAAATTCTCATAGTAAAACTCTCACTAAAATTCTCACTAAAATTAAAATTCTCACTATTAATTCAATATAATTTTCGTATTTAAGAACCTAAGCATTTAATATTTCCCTCAAATATAAATATGTAAAAATTATGTAGATATATAAAACAAATCAAGATATAGAAAATTAACCAAAATAAAAAATTACGATTATTCTATCGCATTGCACAAACAAATAAACAAACTCGATATCAGATGAAAAATAAATGTTTTTCAATATATACGTATAAAGTCATAAAATTTTTTGAACTGATTTATTGCTTTGGTTAAGTAAATTACCTTTATGCGATTAAATTAAGTTCAGGTATTAATTTTCGTCTTGTTAGTTGAAAACTTATGGTATTTTTCATAATTGTTAAACTTTTGTAAGTAAGTAGATTGTTTAAATATCATTTTTCATAAACCTTTAGAAGTTTAATAAGAATACTATTATTATTACCAATTTATACATTCGGTAGTTGCGTCACGTTACTGAGAAAATGAAACCACTATTGTCTTTGATATTTTAATTATTTTAATTTTTCAATCCCTAAATTTGGATTTGGATCATAAAAAAATATAAAAAAAAAGATTCAAATATTTTTTATATATTTATAGATTTTAATATTTTCTTTTGTTTGATCTAATTATCCGATTGAATAATTGAATATATACAATATATAGACTGAAAACTATAGATACATCAAGTACAAACAAAGTCGTACATTAATAATTTTACAACTCTAAAATATATTATTAAATCGTCACAAATTATAAAACTATATATAATTTATAATATATTTTTAGATTGCTAAAAAGATGAAAATTAGCTTATTTAACAACATAATAGTTTAACTGTTGTAGTAACTTTTGTTATTACTTTTTTTTTAATGTTAAAGCGAAGCATTCCTGCCTAGAGAATTTATTTAATTTTGCTATGACATTTAATCATGTGTAAAATGAACCAATGAATGATGATCCTCGGATCGTATGATTTTGACCAATTACAATTCATGAGTTCACGGAGTCATGCTTTTTTATAAAAAATTATTTTAAATTCAAAAAAAAAAACACTTAAGATGTATAATAATAATATAGAGGATGATTTTGAGCCTGGATTTCGTGGCGGACTTGGTTCATCTAAAATGGATACTGAGGATGAAGAAGAGGACATGGATTCAGGTTCAGGAATGGGTCAAAAAAGTTCAGCATTTGATGATTTTCTAGATCTACGATTTGGTTCAACCAAAAGAAAACGAAAAACTCAATTCATTTCTAAACAAAATAAACGTCCGCATGAAGCTGATCAAGAATTTGGAAAATTTGAGCAACATACTAAAGGAATTGGTCTTAAACTCATGCAGAAAATGGGATATAAATTGGTAGAGTTGCAACAAGATAAATTTACCGTCTTTGATTAATTTATTTACGGATGATATTCAATTGGCTGTGCTTTTACTTAGGGGGAAGGTCTTGGGGCAGAAGGTACTGGTATTGTAAAGCCTATCGAGACGAAAGTGCGCCCTTCTAAGATGGGCTTAGCATATCGTGGTTTTGATGAACGGACTGATAAAGCAAAAAACGAAAAAAAGTGAATTTCTTTTTTTTTTTCTGATTTTTTTTTTCACATATATTAAGGCTAATTCGGATTTATTTTTTTAAAGTGATATCGTTGAAAAAGTTAGTATCAAACCTGTACAAAAAGAAAAGCCGAATGCTTGGAGAAAGTCCAAAAAACCCAAGGCCCCTAAAGCTGAATACAAAACGGCAGACGAGATAATGAATGAGAGTGAATCCACTGCGCCAGTACAGCCGATGAAAATTGTAGATATGACTGGTCCACAGGTAATCTTATTTTTCTACATGTATCTTTATCTGTTTTTAGAAATCTTTGATTTAATATAGGTTGGTTCGCTTGATATGGTTACTTTGTTGGGTATATCAGGTTCGTGAAATTTCTTCAGCAAGCCAAATTAAATCTCATGCAATACTGGATTCTTCTTCACGTCTTCCAGAATTGCGTCATAATCTTCGTTTGATCGTAGATATGTCGAAATCGGATTTGGAACATTTCACTAGAGAGCGTAGAATTCAGAATGAAAAGAAAAAATCTCTTAATCAAGATGTTATTAGACTTTCTACCTTGGTGGAAGACGAAGCAAAAAGTAAATTATATTTAAAATGCGATATCAATACGTCAATTTTCTTCGATTAATTGATTTCTAATTAAATTAAATTTCTATTTGTGCCTTTAGGAATAAGTCAACTTGGTGAAGTTATGTCTATCCTCAAAGAATGCAATAGACTTCTCACAGTTACTCTGTCAACAGATTCTCCCGAGTTAAATGTGTTTTCTGAATTATTTGAAAAACTAATTACAAATTATCCTGATGAATTTGTTGTATATGGATTAGATGCTGCTGTGGTATCAATAATATCTCCTGTGGTTAGTAATTTTTAAACGTACTCTAGGTTTCATAAATATTAATATATATATATATATATTCTAGTTTTTGAAAGTTACCATCATTAAAAATTGATATTCTTTCATTTTTGTAATAGCTTAAAAAATATTTGATTTATTGGGAACCGTTGGAGAATCCTCAACTCGGATTGCAAGAACTTCAACAATGGTCCCGATTATTCAAAACTTCATCATCTGATACAAATGTTAAAACTAATTACAATGGGTTATCACGTTCAAAGTAAATATGATAATGTATATCATACATTTATTATTTGATTTTCTAAATATTATATTTACGAATCATCATTTTTATAGAGAGAAAGTAATGACTCCATACGAGAACATGATGTTTAATATTTGGCTTCCAAAAGTTAGATCTGCAATAAAGTACGTTTCAGTTTAATTTTCATTTATTTAATTTATATTATTTATATTTTAGATCTGACATTCTCTTGCTTTATCAAGTAATGACTGGAATGTGCGAGATTTTGATCCGGCAATTCGCTTGCTCGAAAATTGGCGTTCACCACTGCTTCCCGAATTCATTTATGAAAACATGATAGACCAACTTATAATGCCAAAATTGACAAGAGAAATAGATTCATGGAATCCTAGAAATGACACTGAAATGGTACATCAATGGTTACATCCTTGGTTACCCTTATTGAGAGAAAGGTTAGATCCTTTATATGCGAATATACGCCAGAAGTTTCGCCTTATTCTTCAAAATTGGGATCCTACAGATTCTCGAGCATTAGACATATTACGTCCATGGAAAAATGTAATAATTTTTAATATATATATATATTTTTTTAATTCTGTAATATTATATAATTAGAATGTTTTACTATAATAATATTATTGGTAATTATTTGTAGGTTTTTCAACCGACGGATATGCAATCGTTCCTTGTTAAACATATTTTACCCAAGTTAAATGAATCAATGCGTGCAAAATTCCAAATAAATCCCAGAAAACAAGAATTAGGTAAATGAAATTAAAATAAATTATTCTTTTATGGTTGTTCCTATGTGGCTAATTTTGTCTATATATTTTTTTTCTTTTCAATAATTAGAACTTTTTAATTGCATTATGAATTGGCGAAATTTGTTTGTTTCTGATGTATTTTGTAAATTATTTGAGACAGAATTTTTCCCAAAATGGTTGGATGTATTATATATATGGTTAACACACAACCCTAATTATATTGAAATAAGACAATGGTGAGACTTATTCTTGTTTATTATAGAAGGATATGATAAAATTTGAACTTTAATCTATTTATTTCCTTTTTAAAAAATTTTTGTAATTTTTATAGGTATTTATTCTGGAAAGAATTGTTCCCCCAGGAAATGCTTACCGATTCTCTTATCGAAGCACAATTCATGAGAGGGTTATCTTTGATAGATAAAAGCATATCATTGGGACGAGAGGCATCTAGCAGGTTAATGAACTTACATATACATTACATTTATTACATTTATTACATTTGAATTTAGATTTAAAGATTTTTATTTTTATTATTAAATTATTTTGATTTATAAAAATTTAGATTGCCTCATCCATCAAGCGAACAAATCGAGCAAATGGACTTTAATTTTGAATCATTTCAAATTCCTTCTGTCAATCCTAACACAATGGATACAGAAATTAGCTTTTTGGAGTTGGTAGAAGAATTTGCTCAAGAAAGGAACATATTGTTTTTACCTCTCAACAAAACTCATAAAACTTCTGGTAAATCATTATATCGTATGGGAGGTACTTCCGAAGGTATTGGTGGAATTACAATGTATTTCCAAGATGATGTTATGTTTGTAAAAAAAGGGCAAGATTGGCAACCAGTTGGATTTGAAGAAATTTTGGAAATGGTATAAGACCAAAATTCCTGATATTATATTTAAATATTAGAGAATATTATATAGATAATAAAAAAAAATTATCAGATTGTATAATCACAACCAGAAATTCTCTCTTAAATTATTATCATTTCAGAAGAATTTCGCATCATAAATTATAAAATTTTCTAAATGAGAAATTATGAGACTTTATTATTCAACATTAGATACTTATCAAGCATATCAAGCATGAACACCAACACCACCTTCTTTGATTCACAAAGACCAGGATCTGCAACAAACAAACTTCTATTATAATGAATTAGAGTTTTCCTTTTTTAAAAAAAAATTAATATTGGTTGAACCGTGGAATTAAGACATTTACAATGGACGACAGCTGTCATCGTTTTCGATTATCAATTAAAATTAATTATTTTAATATAATTCTTAGTTGAATATTATCATTATTAAGGAAATTCACAGTAAATACTAAGGATAAATACTATAAATAACTTATCCTATCTTAGTAGAGGATTTTTAATACCTTACGATAAATACGTCTGCTAAGTGCCAGAAAAGATCAATTTTTTTCTTTCTCACATAATATTATAAATTGTATACCATGAATACTCTCTCTTCACATGTAAATATTTCTTTAAAAAACATTTATTATTGTACAATGTAAAAAAAAAAAAATTTCACCTTTACAATAATTGTTATAATTGTGAATATTCATGACCAATAAAAATATGGGAAATGAAAGTACCAAGTTAAAATAAAATTATGAATTATTTATAAATAAGTGCTAAAAATAATACAATGTGAAATTGAATAATAAAATTATAAAATATGATAAATATGATGGATATGATAAATATGATGGATATTATAAATATGATGGATATTTACAAATGTTATAGCTATACAATATATTTTTTGAGATTTAATATAAAAAAAAAACAAATAAATCTCAAAAAATAAATGCTGATGCTGATCCAAATTTTTTTTTTTTGGTTTTATATTTTGAAATTACTTTAAATAATATTAAAGTGATATTAAAAATGATATTAAAAATGATATTAAAAATGATATTAAAAATGATATTAAAAATGATATTAAAAATGATATTCGTTGAAAGATCAATATATTAAAGAATGAAGCATAGTGAAAATTTTTTAGATGCGTTTTTGTGTTGTTTTTTGTTTGTTTGTGATTAAATTAGATTGTTTTGGGGAATACCATGTATGAATATATTTTAAGACATATTTATAAATTTCATAAATTGGAAAAAATCTAAAAAAAATCTTATAAGGTGATTGCATGTTTTGGTTTTTTTGAGAAAATTTTCGATGCTTAATTAAAGAAAAATGGTGTATTATGTATTGATAAATTAAGTAGTTATATATACAAGAGGAGAAAAGAAGAGAGAAAAATCTCATCTAAAATGTGGACGTTCATGACATCTGGATGAGGCCGTAGAAGATGATGAACCCGATTTATCATGATTTGAAGACAGATTACCCTTTCTACTTGTCTTTAATGTGGTAGAATTATTTTCCTGTAATCAATCCATAAAAAAAAAAAATGAAATTAAAGAAATTAATTACCAATTAAAATTACAGAAATAATTATAATATAATTCTTAAATTTAACAAATAAAAATTTGTACCCTAACGGATTTTCTAATTTCATATAAAAAACCTTTTTTAGAATTATTGTCTAAACCAAATCTTTGTTCATTGCTAATACTTCTAATAGCTGGATACCAATGATTAATATCTTTTCGATGTTGCCTTTCTGAAGCCATCAGAGCTGCAAGAAATCCCTTTGACACTTCAAATTCTGATCCAACTTGAAATTCATTGTTACCCAATTCCTCACCACTCGAGACCATACAACTATTACTATTACTCAACAAACGTCTTCGATGATGATTATCATTAAATATTGATGATTTAAATGTTGGTTTATCCCATGTTTCATCATTATCGTCACTATCATCATCATTATCGCTAATATAATCATTCGTTGTCGATGTAAACTCGCCAATTTTACAAGGTTTTGTTGTCTCAGATTCAGAATCTGATAATGTCAAAATTTCTTCTTCAGTTGAAACAGGATTAAACCAACGCAGTTTAATTGGATCAAAGACCATATTTCCGACTGATTGTAAAGATTTTGTAGGCTGACTAATATTTGGCGTTGTTGAAGAATAAAAATCTTTCAATATAGATTCATTACCATCCCATCTTTGTAAAATTGGATTATAAACCATTTCACCGACCACTATAAATATTAAATATTATGAATGTAAGTATTTTTTTTTTTTTTAAAAAAAAAAAAAAAAAAAAAGGATGAATTTCGTGTAATTAAAAATAAAATACCTTTGGGGCCCTTTTCTGAATTTAGATTACGAATTAATTGTGGTTTCACCCGCTTATTCTTAAAAATATTTAAATTATAATAATTTTAATAATAATAGTAATAATAATATTAATAATAGTTTTAATAAAATGTAAAATTTTTTTAAAAAAAATAATTACCTTAATAGAATTATTAAACTTTGAATCTGCTGATGAGACACTATCTTTTCTTTCTCTTCGATCATTTAGATCAACAGAATTCGATAAATTTTGAAATACTAATTCATTATTATCTATTTTTAAAGTAGAATGAATTAACAACAAAGAAATTTAACAATGAATTCAACAAAGGAATTCAATAAAAATATTGATAATGTAAATAATGATAATTTACCTTTCACTTTCTCAGAAAAAATGGAAGTGACCTTCTTGGGACTAATAGATAAGTCATCAAAATCATCAAAATCATCTTTTTCCAAATAAACACTAGAAATATTAGATGAATTATTCTTCTCCAAATTGTTATTATTAGATAAATTTATAGATTCACTCTTTTTCGAACCAATAGATGAACTTTTAATTTCATTTTTCTCTAAAAAAATATCTTCATATACAAATTCATCTAATTCATTGTCAACATCACAGTAACTCTCTAATATATTACTAGGTTTATTCATTTCGCTTTTTTGGAATGAATTAACCATCAATTGCGATAATTGTTGTGGTCGTTGTGGTTGTGATAATTGTTGTATTGGAATGGTCTTTGGTTTTAGAGAAGGGAATTGTGAAGCATTACTCAAAGTTTTTGAAGTTTTTGTTGATAAACTTGAAGACTTCTTGACATTAGGTAATTGATGTTTTTTAATGTTAATTAATGATGGTGATATATTGCCACTTTTTGTCAAAGATTTTTCAACAATTTTTGAAGATGATGAAATTGTTGATGACTTGGAACGTGAAGATTTTTCAAGTTTATCAGAAATTGGATTTCCTGCAATATTTTTAATTTCTTTAATTTCTAAACTTGAAGGTTTTCGGTGGTTAGGCATCAAAACTTCTTTTATGCCACCAGAAATAATAGTACCGGAATTTGAATGAGACTTGAAGATATTTTTTGTTGTTTTCGTTGTCGTCATAGAAGTTTTTGCATTAACTTTGTCTTTTGATTTAGATGAGGAACTAGGTGTTTTGGACGGTGTAGAACGTTTCGACATAACAGTTTTCTTTTTCTCTCTTCGCAAGAGAAAAGTTGTATTTGGATTTGTGATAGTCTTATTAGTTTCCTTTGAATAGGATGGTTCTACTTTTTTAGTAGAAGGTAATATTATTAAAGATTGGAAGGAATGCATTTAATGTATATTTTCGACTGTCATCAAAATTTAAAATATAAAATAATATAAAGAACAGTAAAAAATAGACACTTCAACTGCCTATCAATTAATTTTGTAATTTGTGGCTTGCCTGTTTATTTGGTCTGTGCACGTTGTGGCTTGAATGTATGAATTGTTCACTTCATAAAATTAACGACTTTTCAAGACTTATTATGAATTCTCACAATTTATTTCTTAATTATTTCATTAATTAATTACAATATTTTCATTAAAAACTAAAAGAATTATACTAAAACTTTGAAAGAAAATGTCAAAAAATTTCTTCTAACTATGAAGAATTATATTGTAATAAATTGTTGAGGAATTAAAAATAAATTTTTTTTTTATCAAGCAAATAAATTTAAATAGATTTTTGTTTAAAGACGACTTTTAACAGCACGAATACTAATTAAATAATTAAAAAAATTTCATTAATTTAAAAATAATAAGTCAACAATATTTCTTGTAAAGTTAAAGATATTATGTATCAAACCTGTCTTCTAATGACACGAATTTATCAGTACGTGACTATTTTAAAAATTCAAAAAAAAATTTTTTCGTTAACATATATAAATTATTTAATGGCTATATAAGAATTATTCGAATTACTCTTTTACCTGAATACGGATAGTTGTATCAATGCGTTTACAACCCATTTCATGAACCTTATCAACACATTTATGAACGCCTTTCATCACATCATCAAAACTCCCCTCTATTATTATATAGGAATGAAAAGTAATATCAAAAGTAATGAGCAATGAAAAATGAAAACGAGAAACGGATCATGTGGCGTAATAACGACAAGTAAACTTAACCTATGTTGGTTCCACTACCGTGGACTTTGAATTTTAGGCTTTTCATTGTTTAAATAAGTTAACAACGAATAATGAAAAAAAAAAATGAATTGAATGCATCAAATGTGAATTAAACTTACTTAAGATCCTTTAAAATCTTTTGGATTTCAATAATGTACTAAATAAAGCAAAAAAAAACGAAAATATATAATCGGAAATATAATTGGAAAAAAAAAAACAATGAACATTTTTTAATTTACGTAAAATTATATATTTTTAATTAACGTAAAATTGTATATGTAAAATTATATATTTTTAATTAAAGATTATAATATCGTTTTGTGCAATTTCCAATTTCAAGAAATAACTACCTTGGTAGTATTAACATTTCCCATGGGAATAATGCATAAATCAGTAATAACGTGTTCAGTTGCAGTCGGCATTATTATTATTATTATTTTTATTTTTATTTTTATTTAAAAAAGAAAGATATTTTTTTTTAAAAAAACGAACAAAATAGTTAAAAAGAGAATATATATATATCCACATTCTTTTCCACATGTGTGTGAGAATATCATTATTTAGACCCTTTAAAATTATGACTTATATGAACTTAAATGACATGACGCAGGTGGGAAAAAATTATTTATTATTCATATGAATTTTCGTATAATTAAATTAATAAATTTCATATCTTTAAAAAAAAAAATAATATACTCCAAATATGGAAATACGTTATTTATATGTATATGTATATCATATGGCGCGGTAGACCGTAAAAATTTTAAAAATTTTCAACTTTTTTAGTCAAAAATGTCAGATGTTATTAATAAAGCTACTCCAAGAATAAATTCAACACTACTGTCCAAATACCGTGATGAAGTTGTTCGTCTTATTGGGCGCGTTAAAGAGGTTTCATTTTCGTGAAACATTATATTTTAACTATTTTTTTTTACTAAACCAAGGAAATAATAGTTTTATATATTACAAAATTAAAAGAGCTCAAAAAATTCGGCAGTTTTGGAAGCCAGTGACAAGGGACAAGTTAGAATATTATTATCACCGGTTTGCATATTATAATTACCATTTTAAAACATTTGATATTAATAAAATTTTTGGTAAACATTAAAAAATATTAATTTTTAAATTTATAAAGGAAACAATTCTTCAAACAAACCAAATTGTAGAAATTATTGGGCGCGTGAGGGATGATCATTCTTTGCAAGAATTGAATACAACGAATTTCGGTGATGAATTTGGTAAATTATCTTTTTTCTTAAATCATTATTATTATTTTTTTTTTATCATTTTTATATTTATATATTTTTTATCTTTAATAGATCTTGATCTATATGAAAATGCGGTTCAAGTCACCCAAAAATATCCGAAACTTTTTTTCTAGGATTAATATTAATTTTTTTTTTTTAGCTATTAATACGATATCTATTAATACGATATTATGATTGTTAATATAATATAACATTAGTAAAAGTAAATTGATAACTGAATCTGCTACATAAATTCTTTCGACCAGTATTAAATTTATACATGTGCAAAATGAATTTCAAAGTATATATGTAAACATTTTCATTACTATAATTATTAATTAATTATTATCTAGATTTAGATGATGTCTCTACGGCACAATTGTCCAATTTTTGTTGAATATATTGAAATACATTTACGTGTAAACTGGCAAGCATATCTTGTAACGTTAAATTTACGAGCCCTATCAAAAAAAAAAAAATAGTAATACAAAAATAATAAGCAAATAAAATACAATCAATTTGACCAAATCTCATTAAATGAAAAATAAAAATAAAATAAAAAATAGAAACACATTTAATAATTTTAACAGACCTTGGGTGCGTATACATTTCCCACATTCCTTTTTTGGTTTTTTATCCCAATATGAATGATTTTCTGCCAAAATCACAAAGGAAATCTAATGAAACCGACAAAAGAAATTTTTTTTTTCTTAAATTCACCAAAATTCACCAAAATTCATCACAATCTATTTAGAACTTACTTCTGTATACCAATTCAGTAAATCCAACCTTTTGAAGACAGATGGCACAGGATTTTGTCCTGGTATCATAATAGAACAAACTACTTTGCGCATAACTAGTGAATCTAAATCATAAAATAAATTCATCAATAAGGAACTTTCATCATATTGACACCGAAATTCACAATGATAATAAATTAAATTTATTAAATCATAAAATACCTCGCTCATTAATTAAATCGACTAAGCTCTTACACCCTTTACCTGCCCCAATTAAGATTACCCTGGATGGAGATGCAGATCTGTGAGAATTGAGTGAATAATAATGAGTGAATAATAATAATGATAACGATAACAACGAGAAAATAATAATGAGAGAATAATAATGAGAATAATAATGAGAGAATAATAATGAGAGAATAATAATAGTAACAATAATAATAATAATAATAATAATAAATAAATAAATAAATAAATAAATAAAAATACTTACTCAACATAACTATCCCATAGAAATACCAGTAAATCTCTTAAATCTTGATTGTCAATTTTCTATGAATTGAATTTTATAATCATTTTTATTTCATTTACAATTTTTGATCAAATAAATTAAAAAAGTATTAACAAATAATATAAAATTTAAATTTACACTATTTGCCTGCGGTACATCAACATCAATTATCCCGTAATCCTTATCTAAAATAGTTCTAATATACTGATGTACGGTATCAATCTATAATATAATTATAATAAAATTGTAAAATTGTAAATATATATATATATATATATATTTGTATTTAATTATTATTAAAAAATTTCTTACGAACCATATAAGATCCTGGAATATTAATTGTATTCGTTGTAGCACGTGTATCAGCTCTAATTTATTAAATCTAAAATTAAAATGTTTTATTTCTTTCATCCATAAAATAAAATGTTCAACGAACCTGAAATCAGCCCTAAAATAAAAAGAATTAATTTCAATTTTTTTTTTTTTTAAAAAAAAAAAAAAAAAAAAAAAAAAAAAAAAAAACAACGTACAATCAATTAAATAATTAACTTACATATCGTGTACAAAAAAAACCAAGATGTTTTTGGAACATATATTA